CAAACATTAAATGAATATTTTGTATCTGTTTCAAATGTTACTGATGGCGGCAAGACTTTGCCACCTGTTAGCCATCGCTGTGTTAACAGTATAACAAATGTCATTGTAACCGAAAAGGAGGTATCTGATAAGACCTTACCAGCAAACAAATCTAGTGGACCTGATGGCATTAACATGAGAGTGTTAAAACGAATTTGTACATCTATAGCTGAACCTCTTTGTTTGTTGTATAATATATCACTGAGTGACTGTATTTCCTACATTGTGGAAAACGGGTAATGTTACTCCTATTTTGAAAGAAGGAGATGCATCCCTCCCAACTAATTACAGACCTAATAGTTTATTACCTGTCCTTTGGCAAATCCTTGAAAGAATAATGGTAAAGCATGTGCACGACCATTTCCATGAACATAACATTTTAAGTAAATTCCAGTCAGGTTTTACTGCTAGTCATTCTACTACATCTCAACATAGACATTTATCATAATATATGCTCAGTCCTAGATAATCACCACCTTTACTGTATGCTGTTTTGTGATATTTCAAAAGCTTTTACAGGGCATGGCATAAAGGTTTATTGCACAAATTAGAAAAATGATGGTGTTCGTGGAAACGTACTTAGTTGGTTAACTAACTATCTATCTGGGCCCGGGTTATACTCGGTTATCTTAACCGCCGGTTAACTCCTAACGGCCGGTTAAATCCTTAACCGGCCGTTAGGTAACCGAACGTTAAATATGCGTTGTTCAAAACATGGTTAGTCATGCCGTTAGCTAACGTCGCCGTCAAAGTTTAACAGTGTGGTTAACGTCACTGGTTAGCTTCCATATATCCCATAGTTCCGTTTTCTGTTTACTTCCGGTTTACCAAAAATGGAAACGCAAAATGTCGCCTGCACCCCAAGGAAAAAGAGAAGTCGAAATTTCTCTGCTGACGAAGAGAATGTAATCCAGTCAATGGTTTACGAATCATAGGCATTTTGTACGAACGTTTTGTATTGGAACACAAGGTTCCAGCCGTTTGCATAATTTATATTTCAAAGACATTATATGATCCCAGCTCTGTGTAGGACTTACTTCAATTCCAGCAACAGAAAAGACATTTTAATGAAAAACTATAGCACAGCTATAGATAAAATATGATGAATCCATGAAAATAATATTAATATTAGAAGCATGTTGTCCGTGGATAGAAAATGTATAAATATTACACACAGAGTTACGCTTAGACGGCTACAGTCTTAATGAATCTTTGAATTCCCACAAGACCTATCGCTCACTTTTCACTCCTTAAATTGTCATGACTGTATGGCCAAGTCGTGAAGATGCTATCAATATCATTTATTAATTATTTGCCAAGTCTGTCAAAAAAATTGTAATGTATGAACACACATTGCCAAATCTTTTAACATCAAACAATATAGATGTTGTGAAATTAATACCATAGCTTTTATCTGAAATATGCATTCAATACCAATAGAAACTTAATATGTTACTAGCACCACGTGCAAGTAATCAAACTGTAATCGTACTATAGGCCCCAGGGCCAACACTGCTGAATAAAGTCGATCTATTATCAGACCTTACTGTTGACAGGAATCTCATGAATAATACTGTGCAATATCGTCATTATCTGAACGCCTTCACAGACGCATATTCCGGAAAGATGTCTTGAAAACATGAAGCTGCGTCTAATTTATAGATGAACATAATTTCCTCGATACTCATTAATCAGATGAACCTTTATTTAGTTCAATTCACAAGTGACTGCAGAAAATGCATAATTCTTGTTAATGACTTCACGGTCGGAAAACATATATTATATTTCATAAGTGCATTATAGAACGCTGCAACGATTCGACAGAGAAATACATGTATATGGACACTATTGGGACGCTGGTAACTGTCATCACACATTATTTGACGACATTTCTCATGGTTTGAATATAGCCGACTTTATAGAAGATAAATATCAGTTTACAACACAACTGCCTAAATCTTGGTATTTTCGGAACCAGAGAAGGGATATGCCGATATTTAGGTCGTTAACCTAGCATATTATGGTCACGAATATAATTTTCTATTTATTACCGAAGTCTTTAATTGCGGAAATTACGCGATAATCTACTTTCCAACAAAGGCAGGCTCCCCGTCATCGTTGTATTTAGAAGGCGGCTTCTTAGAAGCAACGTGACGTCATAACATTGTTCATGATGTCATGTCACCATGACAAAGTGATATTTTACCCGGTGCATATCGCATCAAAACAAATTATCCCCGATATGTTTGCCCTCGTAGGTTATAAGCATTGCTATGATCATTCTTTGAGGTTAATGCCACCCGTTGAATTCTTTGTTGTATTTTGAGCGGTGAAACTAAATAAATGATTTCTTTAGTCTACCCATAACAATTAAGGTGTCAACTTCCACTGTATACCTTACAGAAAGAAGTTTTGACTTTACTTTGATAACGAGCACATCTGATCGATTCCTTGAAGCAAATGATGCAATTCAATATCATTTCTACATTTTATTTTAAATGCATCAATCAAATACAACAAATGAGTCTAGACAGATTGACTGCTATGTGGCAAGGAATAACCAGGCGCCAGCGATTTATGATATCCTTAGTAAATGTAACTTAAAATTCCCTCTCATAAAAATACAATAATATGTAGTAATATGATGAAGAAAATAATACGAACCAGGTTAAACTATGACAACGCAATATATGAATGTATGATCGAAACATAAATCATAATAAATCACATATGATTAAAACATTAAATTAACTTCAAATATGTCATTGCGTCAACATTGAAAATAATTCGAAAATGAAGAAAAGAAACGTACATTTCAAAGCGTAAACAAACAATATCCTGTTATTTTGGGATATGCTATGAAGAACTTCAAAATGTAATAGAAATAACATTAAATTATTGAAAGCTATTGCTCGTAAAATATGTCCTTGCGTCAACATCGAAAATAACTCCATAATGAAAACAATTAACTTTAATTTTCGAAACATACACAAATAATCTCTGGCTTTTTTAAGACGTGTCACGAATAATTTCACAGCTGGTAGAATTAACATGAAATTATAGAAACCATATGCTAACAAAAATTTGAAAATTAGTAATGACAAAGCGTTTGTCACAAACATAGCTATTACCCCCGCCACATGTCGATATCTGAATGTCGCAATTATCCTCTGTCTGACCCTGAAAATTATGTAAACGTTACCGAAACTGTCATCTGATGCCTTGATACAAAATGCGAACAAATTCCATCCATTAGGTTTGGAGATATCGCAAGAATACTCGCTGTGACCTTGAAAATAATCCGAAGGTCACTGAATTCGACTGGCGTTAGACGATACTCCCAACGCATGTTGGTACTACCTTTAAGCAAAACATATTAATTCTGTCTTGTATTTTCGCACTAAAAAGTTAGACATGTGCAAAACACTTTTCACTGTGAACTTAAAATGAGCACAAGTTTCCCAATCAATTGGTGTTGGGGGAATCCCGCCAATACACCTTGATATAAAATTTGATCAAAATCTATTAATACTTTCCTGAGTTCGCGGCTACCAAGCTTGGCATGTGCAAAACTGTTACACCTTCGCTGTGACCTTTAAAATGACCTCAAGGTCACTAAATTCAAGTGGTGTCGGTAAATCTCCAATCTCCAGTCAATAAACCTTGGTACCAAATTTGAACAAAATCCATCATTTCTTTCTCGAGTTCTTTCAGTAAACAGAATGGGGAGTCATTTGAACAAGCGATTGTAGTTTTGAAATTGCTTTTTTGTGCAGTTTAATATCTAAGTTTGATTCTAGCCGACTTCTACCAATCTCAAACATAGCATATTTTGTTTCCTGAAGTTTGTGATGCATTTTATTGCAGATTTTACGTTTTTTGGGAGTACCAAGCCAAGATACAAAGTCTCACAAAATGGGGATCGTGAGGCTGCAACATAGCAAAACCAATTTGCTTGAGGCTGACAGATAATATTTAGAAAAATAAAACATAAAAACAGCTGCATTTGTATCATATTCTAGGTGAGGCTGACTACTATTTGAACGTCCCTCGTAGTTATACCCGTTAGAACACCCACCCACCTCTCCGACTCTACATGCATGCAAGTGTGTTAGATATACCCGTTAGAAACCCACCCCTACCCCACCCCCACTTTATATGTATACATATCAAAACCTCAAAAGATATTTGCGAAAAGACATGATACAGAGGACAGTTTATATCGATTATATATCAGGACGAATATCATTTTCGTCATTTAGCTAAGATTTGTCAATTCATTCTTGGGTTATCGCGCTAACAATCTTTATATTGGCAAAACCCTCAGATTTTTGCTGTGACCTTGAAAATTATCTCAAAAGGTCACTCCATTAATACTTTTTCCTTGTGTCGGTGAATCTCGCCAATATACCTTGGTACCAAATTTGAACAAAATCCATCATTTCTTTCTTGAGTTATCGCCCTAACAAGCTTATTTGATGTATGAAATGCAACGAAAAACAAACACCCGCGTATTTACGAGTGATTAAAACTGTTATTACAATTTACGTAAATATTTATTACATTTTACCGCAACGAAAATTATTACAATTTACGTCAATTTTTATTACAATTTGCGTATTACAATTTACGTCAATTTTTATTACAATTTACGTTTTTATTACAATTTACGTCAAGTTTATTACAATTTGCTGCAAGTATTACAATTTGCGTTTTTATTACAATTTACGTCGTATCCCAAAAAACCTCCGTTTGGAACACATACTGCACAAAATAATACATATCACGAATAACTCGGGTCAATGCGTTTATAAATTCACTAAAAAAAATACCCATTAATGTTTTTATCCCTAATTTATTTATATTCAGTAAACTACTCACCCTTTTCCGCATTACTGCTTCAGTATATTATTCTTAAAACTTTTAAATGTCTGTTATAAAATAAGGAATATTTCAAGAACTTACGTTATAGATTGAGCATCTGAGAATTCGAGAGAGATGAGAGACTGAAGGCCATAGTAGAAGAAGGAAGCATATTTTCCCCACTGCATCCACGGAGGGGGAGTGTTGAAGGCACCACCTGAAGAAAGAACCACAACACATTACTTCTCTCAACTCAGCATCCTGCTCCGGGCATCGTTAACTTAACTTCGATCATTATAATTAGATTCCAGAGGTACAGATAAGCTGCGTATCTGCGTAAATTACGCAATGTTGTATGTGAAAACTCAATTCCTATGAAGTCTCTTGCGTACAAGTATGCTTAAATGTTTGTAAATGCTCAATAAATTTGATCTTACATGCGTACAAACAAAAACAGATAAATAACTGAGGTATATTGAGAGGTTCTATTTTAGCAGTCTTTCTTATCGTTTCTAATATAACAGATCAAATATAAATAACAAACACATAAACCAACATTTAAACTTTAGCATATTTTCATAATTTATGGAAAATGGCAAAATACCCAACTGAGTTATTTGGTTACTCAAAGGAAAATTAGGACCCAATTGAGATGAAGACAAGCGAGTACATAAATCAATGACCTCCAAAGTTATCAGTAGTTTTGTAAGACTGAGTTAGATTTAAGACCGTCTTGAACACTATGTCTGTTTATGTCTGTTTTATTACGGGGAAATGATGCAGGTCTAAGATGTTATCACTTGACGACCAGTCACTGACGGTCAAAGAATCCTACTAAGGACGAATCGAAACTACGACCATATGAGTGAGTGAGTGTATTTGTACGCCGCTTTAAGCAATATTCCCGCAATATCATCACGGGGGACATCAGAAATAGACACCACAACGGCCGACCACGGGGCGCTGGGGTAGCCTAGTGGTTAAAGTGTTTGCTCGTCACGCCGAAGACCCGAGTTCGATTCCCCTCATGGGTACAATGTGTGAAGCCGATTTCTGGTGTCCCCCCGCCGTGATATTGCTGGAATATTGCTAAAAGCGGCGTAAAACCAGACTCACTCCTGCAATGCTAGGAAATGTGTTCAAACAGATTGGTTCAGTGAAGACTAGGATGTGAGGACTCCTACCTGGTTTCAAATGTGAATTTGTGTAAAAATATGGGTGGGTTTTTTTCAATGTTAAGATGTCTGAGCAGTTGATTTTATGCGATACTTTTAATTTTGTAAAAGTACAACCCAAATTGTGATAATTGAAAAATAGGACTGTAGAATGTATTCTTTAAATGTTGATATACGGCCACTATGGTTCAAATGTCAGTAACTGACTGACTGACTGACTGACTGAGTTTGGTTTTACGCCGCTTTTAGCAATATTCCAGCAACATCACGGCGGGGAACACCAGAAATGGGCTTCACACATTGTACCCATGTGGGGATTCGAACCCGGGTCTTCGGCGTGACGAGCCAACGCTTTAACCATTAAGCTACCCAACCGCCCCTCAAATATCAGTAACATTTTCAGTTGAAAATCAAACCTATGACAAAATCAAGTAGTTTCTCCACAGTTTTCGTATTTACTTGTTCTGGGTTATATGCCTGTCAACACCGTCGTTATTGAGTGAGCGTGCGCGTGTACGTGTGCATGTGTGTATGTGGATGTACCAATCAACATCATGGACAGCAACCCCAGCGACATCACGGAGACGGTCCACGGCGGGTTTAACATTGTGCCAAGAAACAGTCCGATACTCTGTAAATTGCGAGTAAGGAAACTTAACATTAATATAAAGTTATTACATGACATGTCTTAAAAAAGAGGGGATTGGATGGGATATGCATGTCAACTTCTCTATCAGGTGACGAAGGTGTAACCATGTACACGTCATACAGACCCATGAAAATCCGGGTTAGCACCGGCCTTCCCGCGAAATGGTAGCTAAGGAACTATTGCAACCCAGTAGAGTGAGTGAGTGAGTTTTACGCCGCACTCAGCAATATTCAGTAAATAATTGAGTCTGGACCAGACAATCCAGTGATCAACGGCATGAGCATCGATCTGCGCAATTGGGAACCGATGCAATGTGTCAACCAAGTCAGCGAGCCTGACCACCCGATCCCGTTAGTCGCCTCTTACGACAAGCATAGTCGCCTTTGTGGCAAGCATGGGTTGCTGAAGACCTATTCTAGATCTATCCCGGATCTTCACGGGTCTGCAACCCAGTAGAGGCCTCAGTGATAGAATGAGCCAGAGTGAGGGTGCGCCCATTTCAAGGCCCATGTACACAAGGCTATCTCAAACCTAAGGTGATCCTAACTCCCACCCTTCAGCATTGGACCCTTGAAGATCTGGGTTAGAATTGGTCTTCAGTAACCCATGCTTGTTGTAAGAGGCGACTAACGGGATCGGGTGGTCAGGCTGGCTGGCTTGGTTGACACATGTCAACGAATCCCAATTGAGTAAATCGATTCTCATACTGTTGATCACTGGATTGTCTGGAACACTGCTGCGTGTGGTGTTAAACAACAAACAAATAAACAGACAAACAAACTTGTGACACAAAAGTTGAAATCCATGCATGTGACCTCTGAATCACTTCTAAAAGCGGAGATATCTATACACCATGCAAGCATAAAAAACACTAACTTGTTCTTTTGAAAGCTTCTACAGGACGTGTACCGCCTCCATGGTTTAGTGGTTGGAGCGTCCGCCTGGAGAGCGGAAGGTAGCGGGTTCGATCCCCGACTGCGTCATACCAAAAGACGTTAAAATATGGTACTTGTTGGTCCCTGCCTGACGCTCGGCATTAATGGGTACAACAAGGACTGGTCAGCTCGGAGTCAGTATAATGTGTCTGAGTGGGGTATTCATGCTTCACTGCGGCATGGCATCTCAGTGGGCTAGCACTATAAAACCAGCTCAGTCTGGCTCAGTACTAAAAGCCGCAGATATCTATACACGCATGCACGTCGTCATATGAGCGAAATATTCTCTAGCACGACGTTCTTTTCACCTCACCTCTTCAGGACGTGTAACCTGGAAGTGGATCAATAAGGCCGGGGAATCATAGGTTGAATCAGTATAAGTAGTTACCTGAGCTGCATAGACATCAGCGATGACGACGCCGACTGACTTGACGAAGGCGTTGGCGCTGTTGAGGTTGGCAACCCAGTACATGACGCCCATGTATAGACAGGGTTGAGTATGGTGAGTGGTAACTCGCTGATGCTCTTGGCTAGACAGTAGGCGCTCACTCTGTACAGACCCTGTACTCTCTCCCTCGTCACAACCTTCAGCTCCTTGGGGACTTGGATACAACAGAGGGTTTTACTGGTTGGTTTACTGACATTCGCTTAGTGTGTGAGTTAGTGAGTGAGTATGGTTTTTACCCCGCTTTTTAGCCATAATCCAGAATATCACACCAGAAATGGGCTTCACACACTTTACCCATGTGCAGAATCGAACCTGGGTCTTAGGCGTGACGACAGAACGCTGTAACGACTAGGCTAGCCTAGTATCCTGAGTTGAACTGTTCTTTGAACAATATTTACTTATGTCATACGAAATGAACCTGACTGACTGACTGAGTTTGGGTTTACGCCGCTTTTAGCAATATTCCAGCAACATCACGGCGGGGACACCAGAAATGGGCTTCATTACCAATGTACACCCATGTGGGGATTCGAACCCGGGTCTTCGGCGTGACGAGCCAACGCTTTAACCACTAGGCTACCCCACCGCCCCAAATGAACCTGAAGTGATGCTTCGTTTTATGCTTAATGCATCTGCTGAAACCAAAGAGCATCGTTTTACGCCGCTTTTAGCAATATTCCAGCAACATCACGGCGGGGACGCCAGAAATGGGCTTAACACATTGTACCAATGTGGGAATTGATGTTTGGCGTGACAAGACGCTTTAACCACTAGGCTACTCCATCGCCCCACAAAGAAATGTAGTCAATGTAGCAGCATCCCTGCAACCCACATACTCACATGTGAACACAGCATCGAGGAGTGCAAAGAACGCCCACTGAACGGTTGTGAAGAAAAACTGGAAACAAAAAGTAAGAAAATGACGTCATCCAGCAGCAATAGCAGTTTTGCTGATCGACCCGTCCAAGAATATAAACTGACGTGCAAAAGAAGGTATTACACTTGAAAAACGGGGTTTTACCAAAACATTACCAACGTTTTCAAACTCGGCAGAAAACAGTCGTCGAAACACTCCAAAATCCGGGTCCGAAACACAACTTGGATTCTCCGTATGAAATATACTCATGCCAATAATGGTTGTCACCCCCTCCCCACCCCAACCCTACATACACCTCACACCCCCACCCCACACCCTCTCAAGTTAAAAATTGAAAGGGGTGACAACCATTATTGGCATGAGTATACTTGCTTGCTGACTTGGTTGACATATGTCATCGGTTCCCAATTGCGCAGTTCGATTCTCATGCTCTTGATCACTGGATTGTCTGGTCCAAACTCGATTATTTACAGACCACCGCCCTATAGCTTAAATGTTGCTGAGTGCGGCGTAAAACTAAACTCACCCACTCACGTAAGAAGCGACTAACGGGATCGGGTGGTCAGGCTCGATGACTCTCCTAGACACATGTCATCGTATCCCAATTGCGTAGATCGATTCTCATGTTGTTGATCACTGTTGTTGATTGTGTGGGCCAGACTCGATTAATTACAGACTGTCGCCATAAGTGCGGAATAAAACTTAACTCATTAGCTCACCCATAATACTGTGATGTCTTAAGGCAGTGTAAAACCACAAACAAACTATACTTTACTGGTATTTTGCAATAACTAGTAAATATCATCTATATAACGTTTTTATTCACCAGTCCCATCCTGTCCATGACCTTGCCCTCTGTCCTCTCTGGTCGCCACCATATAAGGACACACACGACCAGAATGTACGTGTTCTGAAGAATGCTGATTGGGTTTAAAATCCGCCGTCGCGCATTCCGGAAGTTGCGTGACGTCAGCGTTGACAGCTGAATCAAAAATGACGTCTGACCTCTTTGTTTCCAGTGTTGATGTTCTTCTTCGGATGATTTTGATTCTATCATGAGTGATACTTTATCTGAAATAAATTGCATAATTATCTGTTAATGAAATACATGTTTTACAATAATTCAATATAATTTGTAGAAGATTCCCGGTATAAAGGAATAAGCAAACGTTAAGAATAAAAACGTTTTGTCATCAACAAGTCAAAACATTGATTACACAACAGTCTCGTTTCCTGCTGACTGGGTTTCGTCCTATTGCGCAACATAGTACAATAACCAGTCCAGAATTTGTTAGACCAATTCATTTAACTGGATACATAAATATTAATCAGTATTATTTGATACATCTAAGCACTTGTATATTGCAACGCTACACTCCTTCTAACCCTTACAAACACGTTGTGCAGCGTGATCTGTCGTACAGCGTGCTCTGACAGACGTAAATCTGGAAATCTCAAGACGAGGCTCTGCCGCTAGAAAATTGTGACGGTCTGGTACGGACTTGATATTATATCAATCACATTGTGCGTTACAAAACTACATTGAATAAGCGCACAGAACACATAACAGTGGTGGTGAAACCACTGAGCTAAATGAATTGTGAATCATTTTACGACCTCATCAAACAGGGCAGTTTGTGAAGTTAAGGTCATGCTGCCTACACCTCGCCATAAAATATAGAAATACGATGTTATTAAAGTTTAAAATTAAAATTAACTTGTAAATACCATTTAAAACAAGGAATAGGAATTCAGTGTAACCATAGTTGTTTGTGGTGTCTCTTTTCACTTTCACACTAGCAAATTCCGAACGGCTGAAAAATAGGTCATTGTCTGAATAGATTAATGAGACTCATGTTTCGGTTTGAAATGTTCTATTAGGTCCGTGGGCACACGTTATCAGAGTTACGTCTCTTGACTATGCCAGAAACCAGTCACCGAAAGTCTGAACTTTGTTAACGTATACATTTCATGCTTACTGTGTTGCAGGATCGGGGTTCAAATCCCCTATTCACACAGACTGTATTGCTTGGTGAATCAGATGAACCTGATGAGAAAACGGGGCAGTGGGGTAGCCTAGTGGTTAAAGCGTTCTATCGTCACGTCGAAGACCCGGGTTCGATTCCCCACATGGGCATAATGTGTGAAGTCCATTTCTGGTGTCCCCCGCCGTGATATTTCTGGAATATTGCTAAAAGCGGCGTAAAATCAAACTCACTCACTCACTGATGAGAAACGAACACGACCTACATAACTTCAGGCCTTCCTACATGAAACTGATGAGCTGTTATACAATCTCCCGATAACACACACCCACTCACTCACCCACCCATCCATCCACTCACTCACTCACTCACTCACCCAAAGCCACTCACTCAGTCACTCACCCATCCACACATCCACCCACTCACTTACTCATTCACTCACTCACTCAACAACTCACTCACTCACTGTACCTTCATCCACCACTGCATCGTTGTCCCCACCATGAGAGTTCTTCAAACGGGTCCTGGCCTCTCTGACCGTTAGGAACTGTTTGCGACAGTCCACGCCATTATACGTTACGTCTCCAGAGCGGTCCCTGTAAATGTGACGTGTTCACCAAGCGTTACCTATGACCGTGGGTTCGATAAGGTCAAACTGTCTGCAAATATCAATTTGAAGCCTTTTTATATTGAGATAACCCAAACATACTGTGAAACGCTACGTATCCAAAATTAAATTCCAATTTGAATGAATTAGTATGAGTGAGTTAAAATTTATCGTCACATCGGCAATATTTCAGCCATATCGTGACGAGAACAATTAATTTTATACAGAGTAATGAATGGTAAATTGAAAAACCTGTCAACGAAGGACAGTAAAATAACTAGATTATCACAGATTCGAATTTAAAACTGGCAACTAAATCTAAAACAGTTTAACTATAGATGACAATACAAGGTAAACCCAGGCTATATATTGCCAACAACTGAAGGTAGATCACCATACTTGGGACCATGGGGACTTACAGTACATTTGCTTCCTGCATAGATATTCGCGCAAGAATTCCACTTTGAGGTTAATCTAATGTGAACATCACAAAGATAAATTGGGAAACGCTACTTAACCATATGAAATGAGTTCTCAAGTCAACACCTCTGTATCAACGAAATATTAAATGGGAGTAGTTCGTTCCCATTGCAGGTTTTGTGGGTTCGAGTACCGTTTTGCCCAGACAATGTGTCAAGGTAAACGTCATGCTCGTGCTTGTAGGTTTCAACAATGTGGTAAAATTTAGACGTTCACCACGTTTTTGCCACGTTCATCTGACACGCCCTGTGATAACTGGCATATTGATCTAATCAGCGTTAAACCCACTCCTCACTCACTATTCCAGTTTGTAAATCTATGCATTTACGACCCGGCTAGTCCATCGATAGGTCGTATCAGCAGTACTCCCTATAGTGTACATAATCTCTCCGACTGGGAATAGTTACCTCCATTGCGGACTTGCCTTGATTAATCCTTTCAGCTGACTGGTATCGTCATAATGATCCTCACTTGTAAGGAGTTCTACTGAAAGATGAGATTTGTCGAGTGTTCTTACACACAAAGGGAGGAGGTTACGACCAAAAATATTCCAACCGTAAACTTATATTGGTTTTTAAAATGTGTCCCGTGAGGACTCCCCAGCATATAGAACTGATTTTAGATTGTTAAATCATCAGAACTGATAAAGACCTATGCACGTTTTACAGTAGTAACGTGTAAAAGGAAAGAAAAATGGATAAGTTCTTGTAATCTTTGGCAAATATTTCCTACATTTTCACTCTTTTCAAACGTACCAACATCGGTTGTACAATTATGGACATGGCCTGTGTAAGTAAAAAATGGTATCTTTAAATCATATTTACATGTACGAAATCTAAGTGAGCAAGGTTTAAAACAACACACACACATACACATACACACAAAACTCTCTCTCGCTCTCTATCTCTCTGTCAGACTCACACAGGTACACGTGCACGCACACACACGCAAACACACAAACACACGTATAGCATGGATTCTGATAGAAGTTCATAGATTTGAAGATATTCCCAGAGATTGGATTCAGGTTTGCCCACACTCCACACTATGAACTGTTTTGTAAATTACTGTGTTCAACAGCACACGGTCTTCACTTACACATGAAGTCAGCCATGTTTGTGTTGGCTGGGTATGTAATGTTGGCTACATGTAGTATCTCAGTCAACATGGACGTCTCCCCAGAATACACCATCTACAACCAGAACACCATCATATTGCCATTAGATGTTTATTCGCGTTATCGTATAGTTCTAGCATACAAACATATTTCATCATTAAAGCATTGTTGTACTGTAACTATATCAAAGAGATGAATATAGGTTCAAGGTACAAGAGGTTTGTTAAGGTACACACAGGAAGGGAAGACGGGTTGACGGGTTGACTTGCGGGTGAGAAGACTGCGTGGTGACAGGTGGGTGGGAAGACGGGTTGACCAGGTGACACGATTGTGGGGAGACGGTTTGTCGAGGTGACCAGGTGACACATGCGTGGAAAGACGGTTTGACCAGGTGAAGATGGGTTGAGGAGGTGACACGTGGGTTGGAAGACGGGTTGAGGAGGTGACACGTGGGTTGGAAGACGGTATGGCGAGGTGACACGTGGGTTGGAAGACGGTATGGCGAGGTGACACGTGGGTTGGAAGACGGTATGGCGAGGTGACACGTGGGTTGGAAGACGGTTTGGCGAGGTGACACGTGGGTTGGAAGACGGTTTGGCGAGGTGACACGTGGGTTGGAAGACGGTTTGGCGAGCTGACACGATGACGGGAAGACTGTTTGACGAGGGGACACGATGGTGGCAAGATAGTTTGACGAGGTGACACTTGGGTGGGAAGACGGTTTGGCGAGGTGACACATGGGTGGGAGCATGGTTTGGCGAGGTGACACGATGGTGGGAAGACTGTTTGACGAGGAGACACGATGGTGGCAAGACAGTTTGATGACAGAGGTGACACATGGGTAGGAAGACAGGTTTACGAGGTGACACGTGGTTGGGAAGATGGGTTGATGAGGTGACACGTGGTTTTATTGAAGGAACCAATGGACATAAATGGTGTCCAAGAAACTTACTACCAGGAACCTATGACTGAACATGATGAGTGATGAACAAACGAATATTTTTAAATCCGATAAGACGATGATTTCTTACCTCGCCGTCATGCAGGAAGATGACTTTAGAGCACATCTGGTATATCGCGCTGCTGACGCTTTCGGTTGCTATGACAACTATCTTGTCCAAGCTTTCTGCTAAATATTTCAGGATTCTCATAAGACGTAAAGCTTCCACAAAACTTAGACCCGCAAAAGGCTCCTGAAACGTCAGGATATATTTAGAAAGTCGTAACAAAGTTCATGGTTCACGTTAACAGAATGTACAAATATTTTGTCACGTTGCCGGATAAGTATTCGAATGTTAAAATCATGTACTTATCTCATATGCAAAAAAAGATTTTCAGACACCCTTGAACACTTGGCGAAAGACCTCACCTCATATATTCAAATATTTACTTCATACACAAAATATCAAGGAATGGAAAGCAAAAAATGGTCTGAGACATTTTTTCGAAAATGACGGTGTATATTTGGAAGCAAAACAGGATAATCCAGAGAAGAAGCTTACATCTACCAGCAGGGCACACGGGTCGGTCAACATCTCACACGCTAAGCTGAGACGTCTTTTTACCATTGGTGATGTGAACTGCGCGGCTGTGGACAGACCAATACTTCAGTATATTTAGACGTATTGTTGTTTGTTAATGCCGCACTCAACAATATCCCAGCTATATGGCGGCGGTCTGTAAATAATCGAGTCTGGACCAGACAAACCAGTGATTGACATAAAAACATCGATCTACGCAATTGGAATACGATAAATGTGTCAACCAATACAGCAGTCTGACCACCCGATCCACTTCCTCGCCTCTTACGACAAGCATGGGTTGTTGAAGACCAATTCTAACCCGGATCTTCACGGGTCTGTTTAGATTGGGATTGAAATTACCATATACACCCAATGAAGGAATATTCTTTGAAAGAAGGGCAATGTATTCCATTCGATAGTTCCGTTATCATTTACCTAAGACAACGTATGGCTTCAGTCCAAAGAACTCAATAACTTTGTCGGCTCTGACGTCCCTTTCAGACAGCGTCATCCGTGACGGCAAACGAAGGGACGCGTCATACTGAAAACATATACATCACTTTTATTGCGACTGTTTTGTTTTGTATTTAAAAGGAAAATTTCTGATATTTCTTCTTTTATTTATCAGATGCAATCCTATATCATTATGCTACCTGTGTTATGGCTCCGTTTCTCTTTTCCAACCTACCTGCACTGTTTCCTTAACTGTCAACAATGGAAGAAAGATGTCGTCTGCTCCAACTACAGAGAGCTCCTGTCGTCTGCTTCCTAGTAGGTCACCCCCGAGGTGGACTTGACCAGTGGTGGGCACTCTTCCCCCCAGGGCGTACACCAAGGATGTCTTTCCACAACCTGGTTGAAGAAAACAAAATATGTTTTCAAAAAGTTCTAAACGTTTAGGTTGTCATTCATGATTTTTGTTTGAGTCATGGTTCTACAGATTGGACTTCAAACTTCAAAGCAAACATTAATGAAAATTCGCCGGCCTTACAACGGCAGAAAATGGCATTCAGTGATATTGTGCTTATTAAGAATAGGTTTATCAATAAATATAATAATGTGTTTATACATATAATTCCTCATTATTACGCGAAAATAGTAGCATGAAGCTCCTGAAATGTCTGAAGTCTTTGCCCAGGACAATCTAAGTATTCCACGCGCACGTAAACATCGTTGCCTCATCAAAAACCCATTACATTGAACGTTTGTTGACTGTTAACTGAGAAATACCTTTCGGACCAAGAACTGCCAATATCTCTCCTTGCTTCACACGTCCAGTAGCTTGTTTTAGTGCAGGACCTCCACCTCTGTTGACAGAGAGTCCCTTGAACACCAGGTCTCTGTTATCAGGCTGACGTCGTGAGAACATTGCGTCTTTATTCGATAACCCTCCTTCGTGTAAACGTCCCTCCTAAGAACTTCATCCACCCGTTGCCATTCAATCTGTTCTAATCATTGAGTAGTCACTGTAGTGATCAAACAGTGTCAAAATATCCTGGGTTTGGGTAGCAAAGTGGTTAAAGCATTTGCTCGTCACGACGAGGGTCCCGTCTCGAATCCCCACAGTGTTACAATACGTGAAACGCATTTCTGGCGTCCCCCGTCGTGATATCCCTTGAATATTGCTAAATGCAGAATAAAACCCAACTCCTTCACTGATCCACTCACTCAAAATAGTCTATAACTCTCAGTTCCTATTAGCTGTTTCCAAAGCGAAGTAAAAGTCGAACAGCCTCAGTCATGGCAAGTTCTGTCTCACGTTAGCTCAAGAGTGGTTTCATATTTAGGATCAAATTTTCTCTCACTTTAAGACTCTTTCCATGAAATTAAGCTACGATATCCCTGAGTTAAAACTAGATCTTGTCTTGCATCTAACCTTCTATGCCATATTGTTTTATTTTCGTGATCCCACTGACTCGATGTTAACATGGGTGTACGGACAATTGCCCATCAGGACAATTCTCCACTAGGACAATTCCCCACATAGAACAGTTCTAATGTTTTCATCTGCTTTGTAGAGTTCATACAACCCAAGATTCTGCACTTTTCTCCAAGTGTTCTGGGTCAGATGATAGAAACATCCTTTCAGGGAAACGTGACCTCCAAACACTGATGCAGATGCTCTCAAGATTAATTAATCCCACCGCATCTATTGTACTACAATTTTATGATGTGTGGGGAGTTATCCTACTGGTTACAAAACAGGTGTGGCGAATGCTCAAATACTCAAAGATCAATATTTACAACAATGGTAATGTGAACTAGCGTCTAGTGCGAAAGGAAAATTTTACCAAAATGTTAAAGACAATTTATGCTTTGAAAACTACCTCTTCCTTCCCAAATCTATACATAATCCAATTCTTAGATTTAAGTTATCAAATCACAATTTACCGATAGAAACAGGGCTCTGGTACAACATTCTTAGAGAAAATAGACTGTAAACTTTGAGATTCTCCGTCTGTTTGGGACGAATTCCATTACCTTTTAAATGCGAAGCTCTTCTCCAACAGCGGATAATGTATATTCCAAATTATTACTACGACTGGCCTAATCTATTCAAACTTAAACGGCTATTTTCAATAAAGAAAACAAAGCATTTGAAAACCTAGATAAATGTTTAAATGCCTTGTCAAATGCCCTGAAATCGCAAACAAATTGTGATAATAATACTCTATCTAAGTATTCTATTATCCGCCATCTTGATTGTATATTTATGTTAAATTGTATATCATTATATTCTCATGTACCACCGTGGGTGGGTTTTAGAGAATAAAATGTTCTGTTCTGTTCTGTCAAGATGGGGAAAGGTCATGTGGGGATTGTCCCAGTGGGGAATTGTCCTGATGGGGAAATTCCCTACACTCGTTAACATGACAGACTGATTAATGTAGGCCCTGTGGTACAATATGATACTAGCAATGCCATCGATTCAAGGTGCCCCCTGTCGATTCCTAAGTTAAACCATAACTTTCTCGAGAAATCTATACTCAAAAGAACTCCCCGTGAAAGCTACAAACAGCAAAATACACGATTAACAGATATATAAAATTAAGTATAGGTTATATATTAACAAAAGTTTAATTTAATATCAACTACAATTAGTGCGCAGTATTTACAAGGACAGTATACAATGGAGTGGGAGTACAACATTCAGTTACAGTGGAATCATAATGACTATATAAAATAAAACAGTAGTGACAGTAGCAATAGTCAATGAAAACAACCTTCACCCTTCCACCAACAGTTGACAACAGTTGTCAAGACGCCAACATAGGCCTGGGCTGATTATCTTGGGTGAAAGGTGACATTACAAGTCAAAACATTGATTACACAACAGTCTCGTTTCCTGCTGACTGGGTTTCGTCCTATTGCGCCAAATAGTACAATACCCAGTCCAGAATTTTGAGACCAATTCATTCAACTGGATACATAAATATTAATCAGTATTATTTGATACATCTTAGCACTTGTATACTGCAACACAACACTCCTAACCCTTACAAACACGTCGTGCAGCGTGATCTGTCGAACAGCGTGCTCTGACAGACGTAAATCTGGAAATCTCAAGACGAGGCTCTGCCGCTAGAAAGTTTTGACGGTCTGGTACGGACTTGATATTATATCAATCACATTGTGCGTTACAAAACTACATTGAATAAGCGCAAAGAACACATAACAGTGGTGGTGTAACCAGTGAGCTAAATGAATTGTGAATCATTTTACGACCTCATCAAACAGGGGCAGTCTGTGACGTCTTAGTTAAGGTCATGCTGCCTACACCTCGCCATAAAATATAGAAATACGATGTTATTAAAGTTTAAAATTAAAATTAACTTGTAAATACCATTTTCTTGTGAAACAAGAAATAGGAATTCCGTGTAACCATAGTTGTTTGTGGTGTCTCTTTTCACTTTCACACGAGAAAATTCGGATCGGCTGAAAATAGGTCATCGTTTGAATAGGTTAATGGGACTCATGTTTCGATTTGACAAACTGCGGCATTAATCTATGCGATTCTATAAACTTCTATATTACTCTCGGCGCCCAGTCTAAATATAGCAATTACACTGCAAGACAGCACTGCAGTCTACCGAATCTTAACAGAAACACTGTGATGTAAACACAACACAGTTTTGCTCTCACAACAACAGACACGTCATTTAAGAATGATGTAGGGTTAGACACACATTATCTCAGTGATAGCAGGGATAATCTACGTTATATAGTCTCCCTGGTGATAGTGAGTATGGATTAACGCCACCTTTAGCAAAATATTCCAGCAATGAGCTTCACACATTGTATTAATGGGGGATCGACCCGAGTCTTCGAACGCTTTAACCACTAGGCCACCCCACACATGGATAATTTGAAACCCACTCGATCCCTACAATAACAAATCTTGTGGTAAGGCCATTGCTTCGCTCAAAGTCTATTCATGTCCATCTCAACCGTTCACACCCTCAATTCGGTATCCCGTGAAACAGCTGACCTGAACAATACAAGTTATAAGGCTACCGTATAATTAAAAGGGTTGCCGTTTGCATGCTCGTATGAGGCTTCTCAAATTCTAACATGTGTGCTATCATTAATCATCTGTTAAACATGATACATTACACGTTTTGGGTTGTAGGGCATATAATACCTCCGGGCCAGTTGTCTATATGCGTCCTAGCTCATTTGCATAGACAGGTTTATACGAAGTTGTTTTACACATTTTGCAACAGGGACATTGGAGACACAAGCATTGTGAGCTGTTGGTTTTGTATTTGGTTTTGGTTTAATATATAAACTTACTGATATTCTCACTCCCCACTTACGAAATTACAATAATATCGCCACACGGCAAGGAAGCGATTTGGCCATATGGTTTAAACATATTTATTTCATGAAAAAGCAAAGACAGAATTTTCATGAACTGGATTGGTCAACAAGCTCGAAAGAACTTATATGAAGACCGTTCCAATATACATAGATATATGAAACAGTATCATGACAAGAAAAGATGATATCTAAAATGAAAGTAGATGGTATGACATGTAGTCGGAAACTTAAAATCATGATGGTTGTATACATTCATGGCATCTGCAGTCGGGATCCATAGTAGTATAGCTTTGAGAATTATAGGTTTTAGTGTATGACTTGCTCAGTTAAAGCGCCTAGTTTCAATTATAAATAGATGGACTGATTTTAAGATATGTGATTGAATTTGTGGGTCCATGGAAGACGTTCCGTATAAGATTGTTTCTAATGAAAAGCCATTGGTATAATAAAATTTATTTATTCTTACAGCATCAAATCTGGGACATGCAAAGAAATAATGACGTGCATCTTCTCTGATACATGTCTGTTGTGTTTGTCGGCGTTGAGATCGCTACATCCTAACCTTAAGCGACAGTGGAGGATTTGACAAACTCTTGAACCTATATTTGGATCGAAATGAATGTCTTTAGCTCTATGACTTAAAGCAGATTTAAAATCATTGATGTCTGTAAGAGATTTAATATTTTGCGGTAAAGCATTCCATAAACTTACAGCGTCCGGTAGAAATGAATTGTCATATAGAGCAGTACGGCAGGCAATAGTTTGCAAATGCGATGCGTTACGTAAGGGATAGTTACTGACTTGAGAGACGAAGGGAGGGACGAGTTCGTTTAGATAGTGGGGTAATCTGTTATGATGCATTTTGAAAATGTGATTAGTTTAGCTATTCTTCTTCTTTCGCGAAGAGAAACAGAGGATGTTTCAGCGTAGATTTTATCGTGACTGGTGCCGCGAACAGCTCCACATATCGTACGTAACGCGTCTAAGTGCATGTTTTCCAAGATTGTTGCTTGAGTTTTGGTACAATTGTCATAAATATGGCTACAGTAGTCAAAGATCGGAAGTATAAACGACGTATACATACGATTCAGGGTGTTTCTCGTTAGTCGATATTTGAGGCTTCTTAAGCAATTTATCATGGGGCTGACTCTCTTAACGATATCGTTTATATGTATATCCCATGTACAATCGTTTTGAAGAGTTATACCTAAATGTTTATGGCTCGAAGTTTTTCAATTCGAACGTCGTTGAAAAACAAGCTTGGATGAGGATTTGAATTTGGTTTCCTACTGAATAAGACTGTTTTAGTTTTAGATGGGTTGAAATCGATTTTCCAGGGTTTTGCCCAGTTTGGTACTTTTAGTAGATCATTATTCAGACTAAACGCCGCTACGTAAGGGTCATCTATTTTTACATAGATAGAAGTATCATCTGCAAATAATCGTATATTACTGTCAATGCCTTCAACAATATCATTTATGTAGACCAAAAACAGAAGTGGTCCTAGATCAGAACCCTGCTGGACGCCAGCTTTTACCGGTTGAATAT